CTTTAGAACAAAAACCCAAAAGCTTAAGATGCTCCCACTACCTAGAAGTCTTCCTGCTTGGCTCCAGCTGCCACGCCATCCTTACTATAGTAACGGGCTCCAAGCAGCTTAGCATGAGCCAAGGGCCCCTGAAGTCCAGTGAAGTGACCTTTACTGTACTACCACTAGTCGCAGTTAGTCCTGGTACCAAATGGCACGCGGATATGTTGGCAAAGGAAGTGGGAAGGGCAGATACGGCCACAGGTATGGCAGGAAGGAGCGCGTCTTCTAGAGGTTCGGAGGAAAGCCAGCCAGGCTGGAGTAATTAGGTTTCAATACCTGGAGGGAGCCAGACCTCCAAGCACACACCTGTAGCCCCTGCCCTCCGGGAGGCTGAGGCAAGAGAAGCACAAACTCAAGTCCAACTCAGGGAAATTAGAGATTTAGCGAGACTCTCAGCCAGGCGTGGTGGTGCACATTTGGAAGGCTGAGGCAGGAGGATCCCCATGAATTCAAGGTCAGCCTGAATTACATAGGGAGACCTTGTCCTCCCCAAAGAAAGTCTGTCTTGAAAGACAAAGGGGGGCTGGGGATTTAGCTCAGCGGCATAAGCACCTGCCTTGCAAGCAGGCGGTCCTGCATTCGATCCCCAGTACCGACCTGGCAGGAGACAGAAGGCTGCGTGCAAAGGCAGCCTCGATGGTGGTGTCCACTGCAGGGAGCAGCACCTGCCCCAAGGCTGAGGGTGAGAGGGCAGAGTTGAAGTCCCTTTTGCCAGTGTCCCGGAGGCCGCCCCTGCAGACTCAGGGACAGCAGACTTCCAGTGTCCCCTTCTCAGCCTCTGGGGCCCAGGAGGGAGGTGGTGATGGAGCAGTAGATTGAGCACTAAGGGTTCTCTGGTCAGTGCTGGAGAGCGGCAGTGTATCCCAGCCCTGGACTCTGGGTATTCTGAAGGAAGCACTAAGGCCAAGATATGCCAACAAGTCCTGATTACTTTTTGTACAGTTTTGTGTTGCTGAGATGAGGTCTCCCTATGTAGTTCAGGCTGGCCTTGGACTTATATAGCCTGAACTCACAGGGATCCTCCTGCCTCAGCTTCCTGAGTGCTGAGAGTATAAGCGTGTGACACCACACCCATCTCCGTGACACCACACAAACAGGAAATTTACTGTTTTAACTTGTTTCCCAGCCTGGCCTCACACTCCTGGCTCCAGTGACCCTTCTGCCTGAACTGCTCCCCCAGTGGGAGTGACCTCAGGTGCTCACCCCTGTGGTCGGCTGACCGGAACCTCTCCTAGATGCACAGGTCAGCAACGTTAGTTACGGTCACACTTTGTGCGACCACGGCCGCCTCCACAGCTTTCCCAGCTTCTCAGACTGCAGCTCTGGCTCTGTTAAATACTAACTCCCAATTACTCCCCCCTCTCCAGCACCGGCAGCCCCGGCCACCTTCCATCCCTGCACTTGGCTAAGAGGACTCACACGACACTGGTCCTGCGGTGTCTGGCTGACTTTGCGTAGTGTAGGATCTCCAAGCTTGGCCTGTGCTGCGGGCTGGAGCCCTGACCACTTTTATCTCTGTTAGTGTCTGCAGTAATCTATGTGACCCTTATCAGCACCATCCATTCCACTGTGTCCCACCGTGTTCTGCTGATAACACAGTTTATGTGATTTCTTCCCATTCTCTGCTGTATCTCTCTCATTTAGTCAAAGAGACTAAGTTTTCTTTGTTTCTTTGTAAATGTTAGGTGGAAACCAGGTTGATTCTTGGAGAGTTTCTCCTGCCAGCGGTGGTCTCCTCCTGTTCTCTCCTCCCGGGCCTTTTCTCCTGCCCTAATCTCCCGCTGATGGCTCTTCTTTCAATAGGGCCCGTTCTTGACTCCACCTGCTGTATTTACCTTGGCTTTCTTTTTTTTAAACTGTCTTTGCTGCCTGGCTGTTGTCACTGATGCAATCTCTGTTTAGCTCTTTTGCTTCTTTGGTGAATAGAGGAGTGTGAGCTGAATTAATCCGAAGTCGAGTGTCCCCAGATACCTCGAATACCGCTCACATGGAGCCCGGTGAGTCATCTCCGCAGAGCCGTGCACACATCCCCGGAGGACTCCCCTGAGGTTCGCTTCATTTCCTCTCCTCGTCACAGACAAGCAGATCATTCTGGTTGGAAGTGGCACCTGAGATTTTGATGTTTACTTTGCTTAAGTACCTTCAACCCGCAGTTACATCATGGCTCACCCAGCTGTGGTGTTTTCCTCTGTGAAGGGTTGATGATTGGTCCTTCGTGACTCTTTTACTTCAAAAACAAAAACGAACCATCTCCACCGAACACGTCATCCTTCAGCCGGCCTGAATGTCCTTGCATCTCACCAGGCAGGATAGGCCCCGGTCACACCTTGGCTCTGCTACTTGCTACCTAAGAACCCGAGCACTTTATTGAGCTTCTCCCGGCCACGGTTTCCTCATCTTTGAATTGGGGCAAGTGTCAGCACTTACTTCAGAAGGGTGCTGTGAGGGCAAAGTGACCCCAGAGCCATCCGACACAACGCGGGTGCTCAGTAGATGACGGTCACTGTCATCTTTCTTTCTGTTTGTTTTTTTTTTTTTTAAACAGAGTCCTGCTGTGTAGCCCAGGCTGGCCTTGAACTCACGGCAATCCTCCAGCCTCCCAAGTGCTGGGATAACAGGTGTGCACCACCACCCCCAGCTCACTGTCATAGTTCTTGTTGTGTAAATGAAAGGGAAATATTTATCTTCACTGTTTTTTCAAGGTGCTCCAGAGGATGAATTCAATAATCTCTGCTGGGTGGAGTGGTGCACTCCTAATACCCCAGCTACACGGGAGGCTGAGGTAGGACCTCAAGTTCAAGGCCAGCCTGGGCAACTTAGCAAGACCCTGTCCCAAATCAAAAACAAAAGAGGCCAGAGCAGAGCTGAGTGGTACAGAGCCCTGAATCCAGTCTCTAGTACACCCTCCCCCTGCCTTCATGCACAATTGTGATGATGAAGGTGACATCTGGAAAGCTCAGAGCCTGGCACTCAGTAGGTACTCAACATGCCAGAGAAGGCTGAGTAGGGCACCTCTGCCTCAGGGGTGCGAGGGGAGGATACACTCGGGGAGAAGGCACACCCCAGAATTTGTCTCTGCTCTGGGCTGGAAGTCCTCGTTCCTCCCGTCAAATACATCCTGAGCTCCTCTGTCTGTTTACCACCTGCAAATCCAATCAGTCTGGTGACTTCCAGGGCCCAGAGGCTTGGCATTCTCTCCTTATCGCCTTGGATTTTTGTTTTTTTGTACCAGGTATCGAACTCACAGCCTCACATTTATGCTCAACACTTATGCCGCTGAGCTAAATCCCCGGCCTTCTCCTTGGATTTTATTTTATTTTATTTTATTTTATTTTTTTAACTTGGTCTCTAGATTTGAGTCTCCTTGGATTTTAAATATTAATAGGTAATTGTATTAAGCAGAGCCTATGATCGTACCTTTTAATACATTCTGTAGATGAAACCGAGAAATATTCATATAATTCTACTTACCGAGACAGATGCACAAAGCCGGCCTGGGATAATCTCAAACTTACCTGTTCAAGTTTCATTGTGAGCTCAAGGGTTAGCGTCCTGCAATTCCCAGGAAATTCCGAGAGAAATGCGGCATTCATAGCACATGCTGGGTTCTCCTGCTAAGCTAAGGTGCCACCTCAGGGTGGCACTAGGGTTCCTGCCTTGCCTACCAACCTTGCCCCTAACCTTACCACACGCCTTGCTAAAACTTAGGGGCTCTGTTATTGAAGGAGGAGGAGGCAGAAGAGAAAAAAGAGGAACAGATGATTCTAGAAGTCTCTGCCAGCAACTTCTCCTCCTGACTTGAATGCTCTCTGCGTGTGATGGGCCTTGCTGCACACATCCACGGGTCCTTCCAAAGCAGGCCTCCAGATGGTGTCTAAGGATTTAGAGACCCAGGTGTAGTGGCACACAGGTGTTAATCCCGGCACTCTGGGGGGCTGAGGCAAAAGGATTGCCTGTTCAAGCCTAGCTTGGGCAACTTAGTGATCTGGTGAGATCCTGTCTCAAAATAAAAAATCAGTAAATAAAAAGGGGTCAGTATATAGTGCAGTGCAAAGGCCCTGGGTTCAATCTCCAGTACTAAAAAAAAAAAAGCGGGGAGTAGATTAGAGAGTTGCATGGAAGTCACTTGTAGAATCTAAGCATACAAAGGTAAAGGTCACCATCGTCTCCATTATCCTCTGAGAGGGCATAAGCTCCTGTCTGATTAGTATTAAACTCCGCTGTAAGTAGCAGAAAATGCAAAATAATGGTGGCGGGGGCTGTGGCTCAGTGGCAGAGTACTTAGCTAGTGTGCAGGTCTGCTGTCTTCAGGGAGGATCTCACCTCTGGCTAAGCTCTGGGGCTCTGTTACTGGAGGAGAAGGACACTGAGCAGTCTCTTGCATCTCTGTTTCTGCCCCCACTTCAGTAATTTCCTTTTCTCCAGACAAACGTCTGCTCTGTTTCTGACACGCACAGGTCAATGTTTAGCCCACTTCCTCAAGGCTTCTCAGTTCCAAAGCAGCATGGCTGCAGCCGGCTCAGCCTCTGCACCTCCCTCCAAACTCCGGGGCAAAGACACTGATTGGTCCTGCTGGGCAAGACAGTCACCCGCAGCCGGTCCTGTCCTCTGTGGCCAGGGGCCTCGCAGATCTCCCCCTTTTAGGACGGGATGAAGCAGCTCTGTAAGAAAGGGGTGTGCGGGTTTCAGCCGTAGTTGTCTGCCTGGATTTTAGGGCAGAGAGTTTAATCCAGAGCCCAGCAACCCCCTGGCACACTCAGCACATGATGGATGTTGATAAGCAGCGCACTCAGCCCAGGAGCTCAGCACTTTCTCTTTGCGCCCCACCAGGACTGCAGAGAATTTCCCCAAAGCATGGCCTCAGAGGCCCCCAGCCTGGGAAACACAGGCTGCGTAACTCCGAGCCCCTTTCTGCCGAGGCTCACCGTGCCTCTTCTCTCCCACACCTGCTCTTGCAGGCCTCGAACCCTCTGTGGCAATCCCGGGGCTCCACCGCTGTGTCTTCAGGAGGCCGTTTCCGCTGCCCATCGTGCAGGCATGAGGTTGTCCTGGACCGGCATGGCGTCTATGGTCTGCAGAGAAACCTGCTAGTGGAGAACATTATCGACATTTACAAGCAGGAGTCCTCGAGGTGAGCTGCTGTCTAAGGGGCTTCCTAGTTCCCTCTCTCCAGGCTGCAGCTCAGTCCTGGGCCTTGCCAGCCCTCTAGGACTCTGTGCGTGGGATGGGACATCCCTGACCACTGTGCCCCATCCTTGGATCCAGCTCTGCTACCTCTTAGAGCTGTCTCTTCCCCAAATGAAGAGCACTGTGGCAGCCACTCTCCAGCTGGGCACAGCATCAGCTGCAGGAGCTCAGAGAGCAGGTGGTGGTCAGGGAGGGGTTCACTTTCAGGGCCCACCCGCCCCACTGGCCTGGCCCTGACCCTCGCTGCCTCCCTTCCTGCTGCCCCCAGGCCGCTGCACTCCAAGGCTGAGCAGCACCTCATGTGCGAGGAGCACGAGGAGGAGAAGATCAACATCTACTGTCTGAGCTGCGAGGTGCCCACCTGCTCCCTCTGCAAGGTCTTTGGGGCCCACAAGGACTGTGAGGTGGCCCCGCTGCCCACCATTTACAAACGCCAGAAGGTATCACGGGGTGGGGGATAGGGGGCAAGGATGAGGGCAGGATCAGACCCACAGATCAAGGGGACCATTCCTGCTCCATGATTCTGAGGACCTGAGGAAGCCACCTGATTTCTCTGGTCCCCATGCTCCCATCTGTCTGAGAGTTGTCACAAGCAGGGATGAAAACAGTGTGTGGTGGACCAGACACTCCCAAGGGCCTCTCGCCATCAAACAACTGTTTCTGCATAAACCTTGTTTTAAATGGGGCCTTCCGGGGGAGCAGGCAGAACAGGGGAGAGCAAACCTTGTATAGTCAGCACAGAAAGGGCCTCATTTCCCGGAAGACCATGCTAGCGCCCTAAAAAGTGGGACAGCTACATCCAAGGCTCCCAAGACCCCAGGTTAAAGTGGATTCCTAGGTGCTAAATGGCCAATTGCACCACCTGTCTTTCAACAGAAACAAATGCAAATTCTGTCTGGAGGAAAAATAGGTCCTTAGGTTCTCCTTAGATTAAGATCAACAAAATAGCTGGGGATATAGCTCAAAAGCACAAGCATCCGCCTGGCAAGTGCTGGGAGTTCAATTCCTGCTTAAAAACAAAAACAAAAACAAAAACAAAACTGACTGATCATACACAAAGGAATGTACTCCACAAGTGAAGCTGGCAGAAACAAAAATTATAGTTTAGGCCCTAGAGTAATTCAGAGGTTAAAATGATTACAGAATAGAATGGATTTGATTTGATTGATTTAATTTGATTTGATTTTTGAGCCAGGGTTTCACTGTGCAGTTCAGGCTGGCCTTGAACTCACTCTGTAGCCCAGGACTACCCTCTAACTGACAGGAATCCTCCTGCCTCAACCTCCCTAGTGCTGGGATTACAGGTGTGTGCCACCATGCATGGCACAATGATTTTTAAAAGATGAAAAAATAAAATATGCAAATTTTTTTAAAAGCATAATAGAATATCAAAAATGCCTGCACAGTCACTGACCTCAGTGGCACACGCCTATCATGGCAACATTTGGGAGGCTGAGGCAAGAGGATCACCACCAGTTTAAGGCAGCCTGGACTACATAGTGAGACCATGTCTCAAAAACAAAAAAACAACCATTGCCACCAGCACAACAAAAAATAACCATGCAGTTTTGACAACCAAATAGAGAATTTAGAAATAAAGAATAATTGTTGAAAGAAAACATTCAGTGGATGAAATAAATGATGGATTTCTTTGGGGAGAGAATTATCAAATATGACAAGAGGACTGAACACAAACTGACCATTGCCCTGGGAGATGAGAAGACCAAGGATGAGAAGGTCTAGCATGAGTCTCGTCAGACTCCCAGAATGAGAGAATAAGGCATGGTGGTGCACGCCAAAACTCCCGGCACTCAGGAGCCCAAAGCAGGAGGACAGCTAGGAGTTCAGGCCAGCCTGGACTTCCTAGTGAGGCCCGTCTGAGGTGGGAGCAAAAATGGTTTTCCATGAATGGATGTCACGGAGAAAGTCTCAGAATGATAGAAGACATGCATCTCCAGCTGAAGCTTCAAGCCCAGGGCCTGGCCCAAGGTGGGCCTTGAAGATGTCTTTTCCTTTCTCATTTGGTGGTGGAGGGCTGCTTCCTCCTCCTTCTGGAAGCCTCAGACTGTGCCTCCTCGATCACTGTAGATGCCCTGATTGTGGAGGGGTGGGTGGAGGAGCTGTCTTTTCCTGGGGGTGAGAGGGGCGTAGTCACGCGCCAAGTGCTCGAGCTCTGAGAGCTGGCCTGTGTGTGTGACAGAGTGAGCTCAGCGACGGCATCGCCATGCTGGTGGCCGGCAATGACCGAGTGCAAGCAGTGATCACGCAGATGGAGGAGGTGTGCCAGACCATCGAGGTGAGCCTGGGTGGGAGGGACAGGGGCAGAGGCCAGCTGGGAGGGCCGAAGAGAACCAGTCCTCTCTGACCTCGGGCCAAATTGGCCAGAAATTTTCTGGGCTTCTGGAAGTGGGGGAGTGCGCTTAGCCAGGCTGCCTGGTTTGAATCCCAGCCCTGCAGCTCACTAGCTCTGTGACTTTGGTCCATTTACCTAATTTCTCTGGGTTTGGGTTGTGTTTTTTAACTATATATAAAGCAGTGATGAGCTGGCCATAGTGGTGCACACTCTAATCCTAGGACTCAGGAGGCTGAGGCCAGCCTGAATCAGACAGTGATCCATTCTTGGCCTTTTGGCTACGATCAACTGAATTACAGTGAGACTGTGTTTCTAAATAAATAAATAAATAAATAAATAAATAAATAAATAAGTGATGATGATAGTGATATAGTGACTACTTTATGGGGTCTTTGGAGGAATTAAACGGAATAATGCAGATCAAACCTGGGTCCAGAATAGGGTAAGGACCTTTAAAATGCTTGTTGTTATTGTTATGGAAAAGATCCGACCTGTATTCTGGCTGTGCACGGAAGGGAGTGGTAATCAGGTCAGTTTCCTTGGCTCCCTGTGAAACTTGGTCAGTGGAGAATGGAATGAGTAGCCCGCCGTCCTACCTGCGGGGTCCCAGCCGCGCCTTCCTCCTCCCTTGCTCTGGGTCTTTTAGGACAACAGCCGCAGGCAGAAGCAGCTGTTAAACCAGAGGTTTGAGACGCTGTGCGCGGTGCTGGAGGAGCGCAAGGGCGAGCTGCTGCAGGCGCTGGCTCGGGAGCAGGAGGAGAAGCTGCAGCGCGTCCGCGGCCTCATCCGCCAGTACGGAGACCACCTGGAGGCCTCTTCCAAGCTGGTGGAGTCGGCCATCCAGTCCATGGAAGAGCCGCAGATGGCGCTTTACCTCCAGGTAGGCCCCCCGGGGAGGCAGGAGCCTCGCGCAGTAGCCGGGGACCCGGGTTCGAGCCCTCGCCGTCGCATCCCCACCCCGCGCAGGGGCTTGGCGAGGGCCGGCCAGCGCTTACTCGCCCCTTTCCCCCTGCAGCAGGCCAAGGAGCTGATCAATAAGTGAGTAGCGCGGGCGCGGGCGGGGAGGGCGCGGGCGGACCCCTCGGGCTGGCGAGGCGCTGCGGGCTGAGCCGCGGTGGCTGCGGCAGGGTCGGGGCCATGTCCAAGGTGGAGCTCGCCGGCCGGCCGGAGCCGGGCTACGAGAGCATGGAGCAGTTCTCCGTGAGCGTGGAGCACGTGGCGGACATGCTGAGGACCATCGACTTCCAGCCCGGTGCGGCCCCGGGGAGGCCGGCTGCGCGTGCAGAGCCGGGGCGGGGTGCGGCGGGCCCGCCGGAGGGGTGAGGGCTCCCCTCACCTGTCCTCTCCGCCAGGCGCCTCCGGGGAGGAAGAGGAGGACGAGGTGGCGCTGGACGGGGACGAGAGCGGCGCAGGCCCCGAGGAGGAGCGGCCCGACGCCCCCGAGGGTGAGGGGTGAGGGGGGCGCGACTGCGGGCACTGGCGCCCCTACCCCGGGGGTCGCCCTGCACCCCCAAAGCGCTTTCCCTGCACCCGTACCTCCAGGGCTTAGGGGAGCTGGCCGCGTCGAGGAGGGCTGGGCCCGCAAGCTGGCCTTGGGGCTGCCCCGTTGGTTGTCTGGAGCTCCTGTCCCCCAGCCTCCTCTCCCCGACACAGGCCAGCACTGACCCGCGCCTGCCCGCCGTGCAGCCGGGGCCCCGGGCCGCGCCAGGGTGAGAGGAGCTGCGCGGAGACCACGCTGCAGCCCGGCTCTGCGCCCGGATCCCGGAGGCCTCAATAAAGCCGCATCCCCGGCCCACCCCGCCTCTCCTTTCGCCGCCCCAGGGGACCTCGTCCCCATCCCCCACTTCCCGCTGGAGGGCGGGAGGGAAACGGCCCTTCCTGGGGCTCCGCGCCCCGGCTCCATCCCAGGTCCCCGGGCTCAGGGCGCCGGGAAGGAGGGCAGGGGCGGGTGCTGTCCTCGGACCTCTGAGTGCTGGGACCGGGTGGGGGCGACGGGACCACAGGGCTGGCCAGGGCCGCCGTCCCCGCGCCCCCTCGGGATCTGGGTCTCTCTTGCTGGCGGGGAGACCCCAACTCTCCACGGGTGCCCACCCTGCTGCGATTGTCCTCGCCCCTACGACAGAAACCAAAGGCTCTTTAGCATTTTTATTAAAAAAAAAAAAAATAGCCACGCAGAGCGCTCGGGTGGTCTCCGGGCTGCTCCGCGCCGCGGACCCGGTCCAGCCGGCCAGACACGGCCACCCGGGTGGGGAGGGTCGCGGTTTCCCGGCCCGGCCCCGCCCGGCGTCACTTGCCCACCGAGTCGAATATGACGCGGTTCTGCTCGGCGCGCTCCCGCTGGCTCTGCGTCCGGGCCAGCTCCAGCAGGGTCCGCAGCAGGTGGAAGGTGAGGTCGATGGACAGCGGGGGGTCGTCCCGTCGCGGCCGCTCGCCGGCGCCTGCGGCTCCCCAGCCGGCCAGCCCCGCGCGGCGCGGGAAGCGCTCGGCCAGCAGCAGGAGCAGCGCGCGGGCCCCGCCGCCCTGGCTGCGCGCCCCGGGGCTCCATCGCAGACTCGGGTCCTGGACCCCGGCTGCCGCCGTCGCCGACACCGGACTCCACTGGCCGCTCCCGGGGCGCAGCTGCACCAGGAGCAGCAGCAGCCCCACCGCCAGCGCCGCACGTCCCGCCTGCCTCATGGTGCCGCCGGCCCTGGACACACGGGGGCGGCGTAGGTGAGGCGCGTCCCGGACGGACGGCGCCAGGTGGCGACTCCAGAACCAGCCCAGGGACCCGCCGTCCCTCCGGGGGGTGCCCGGGACCCAGGCCCTCCAGGGCCTCCCGCCCTCCCTCCGAAGGTCGCCCCTGGGTGGGCAGGCGCAGGGTGCTGGCCGGCGCCGAGGGAGTCTGGACGGCCGATGGCTGGAGCCACTCACAGGTTGTTGAAGAGCGTCTGCTGGTGCAAGGCGGAGCTCCAGCGTCTGCGCCTCGGGGCGGGCCGAAGGCGCCTTGGGGAGCACGGGGTCTGTCCCGGGACTGCCGCCAGCCTTATATAGCGCCAGGACAACTCTGACGTCAGAAGAGAACACGCACTGACTGTAGAAACAATGACAGCGGCAGCTCCGGCTGCAACAGAGGGACGCCCCACCGGACGCCAGCCCTCGTGTCCCTGGGGCCAGCGCTGGAAGCGGCATGGGACGAGACTGAGCCAGAAGGGTTGTCCCAGGACCACGCGTGTCCTCCGCTTTGCTTAGAACAGCTAGTGGTGAGGAGAGCTGGTCTTGACACCCGGCTAATCCCGGGGTTTCCGCTTCCCATTGGAAGCAGGCCCGTGGCGCTGTCCATGGTTCTGACCCCTACTTGGTCCCCCAAGGCTAGCGCCGTACTCCTAAAACCAGGCTGGGCTCAGCGCTTAGCCCCAGAATCTAACTTCTACAGCCTCCCAGCTGAGGCACCATAGGAGGGGCTCTCTAGCTTCCCACCACAAAATGGGGGGGTGGTGGTCCCCCGTTTTCTAAGTTCACCAAAAGTGGTGGTTTACCGAAGGTCTGTCTTCCTCCTGGGAGTAAGGGAAGTACTCTTAAGTGTTTGACTTCTAGTTAGGATCACTGGATAGGATGTAAAGAAACTGGGTTCATTTCCACTCTGTGACTCCCTCCTGCAGTGAACAGGGCACTCGTTTTTACGGCCCTTATAGTCCACATTTGTGAAAGATGACTGGGCCCAGACTTCTTTCCAGCTGCAGCCATTGCTGTGGTTTTCACAGGTCTTATTCAGGACCTCTGCCGGTTCTAGATGACATACTTATTAACGTATTAACTGGGGGCTGGGGGTTTAGCTCAGTGGCAAAAGCACCTGCCTGGCAAGTGTAAGGTCAGGAGTTCGATCCCTGGTACAAAAAAAAAAAAATTAACTGAAGCGCTATATAGACAAGGAGTTTCGGGGGTCTCCAAAGAACACCAGGGCTGGGAAGGGTTACACTAACAGATGTGTATGGCATTTTTTTTTTTTTTTTTGTCTTTTACTTTTTATCGGAACCGGGGATCGAACTCACGACTGCCTGCTTGCAAGGCAGGCGCTTATGCCGCTGAGCTAAATCCCCAGCCCCTACACTAACAGATGTGTCTATGGAAAGGATCAAGTGGCGGTTGTTAGTGTGTGGATATAAAGCTGACAAGGTCATTAGGTTTTACAAATATTTATGGAGTGCATGCTATACACATGGTATCCACAGGCTAGTCCTGTACCAAGAATTTCAGTCAGTGACAAACTATGTACACAACTGTGGCCCCATAAAGTTATAACGAAGCCAAAAAATTCCTGTCACCTAGTGGCACAGGAGCTGCCAAACATCACAGTGCAATGCATTTTCCTGTCTTTGTGGTGGCATCAGTGGGAACAAACCTACTACGCTGCCAGCTACATAAAAAGCACAGTGCATACAACTATCTACAGCACAGAAGATAACAGAAAGTAACAACATGGGCTCATTTATTATATTATCATTATTTTAGAGTGTACTCCTTATTACAAAAAGCTTACTATAAAGCAGGACTGTCACGCAGGCATCGGCCTCAGACACCCTGGGTTTACTGTCTCCTGTCTGCACTAGGAGACCGTGCCGACTGACGGTCCTGTGCCATACAGGAGTGGCGCTGTGTTCACAAAATGCGGCAGCTGCCTGGCGGCACCGTCCTCAGAATCTACCATAAAGGCCTCTGTGATTTCAGAGGCAGTCAGTACACATCTCAGAGTGAGCGGTGCCATTCCAGAGTGCTCTGACCAGCAGCCACGCCTTGGGGACACTGATCTGCAGAAGTAGGAAAAGACTGAGCATTTGGGTCACGGTCCATCGCTGCAGTGGGGACAGCAGGGCAGGGCAGGGTTAGCGCTGATGTGTCTTCCAGGACAGGTAGGAATTCCAGATGATAGCAACACACTGGACGATGGCCAACCTATCGAGAGAAGAGTATCACCATGAAGGGCCTGAGGCCGGGCTCCACAGTGCATGCCACGCATAGGCTACACAAGTGTGAGGCCAGCCAGGGCACACTAGCAACACTCTGCTTCAAAACAAAAAGAACAAAGTAAGGGCGGAGGACAGCTCAGAGGTACAGCGCTTGCTTAGCATGCGGGGCTAGGGAGAAGGAGAATTAGTAACACAGAAGGGCGAGATAGGGAATGTGGGACAGAAAGGGAGGGCCTGCCCCAGCGTTCTGAAGGCTCTTCCTTCAGCATGGTGAGGGGCTGCACCTGGACCAGAGAACAACTCTGAGCTCAGACTCAAGGTGCTGGCCTTAAGCTCCGCCTCCCAGACGAAAGCCTCAATAGCTGACCCTGTTAGTTCTCCCCCCAGACGACGCAGGCCCTCTTCAGACACACGGCTTGAACCAGGGCTGTGCACTGATGAGCTGCATCCCAGCCCTCTTTTCCACTTCTTACATGGCTAAATTGCCCATACCTCCCTTTCCCTGGGGTGTTGGGGATCGAGGACAGGGCTCTGCGAATGCTGGGCAACAAACCACCACTGAGATACAGCCACAGCCGGCAAGGCAGTGCATTCTCTGTTGCTGCTGCCCTGGGACTGAACCCAGGGCCGGTGCACTAAGCTACATTCTGGCCCTTTTTCTTTCTTATTTTTGAGAAGGATCTTGTAGTTCTATTTCAGCTTTCACAGTGCCCAGATTACAGTACAAAGTAGCCCTTCTTTATTTCAAATTAAACTTGATCTGGTGTCCGAGAATGTTGCAAAGGCTCGTAATGTTAGGATCTGGTTCACAGTCTGTGCTCTCTTTGGTTACACCATCCATGTAAATGTTGACCATGTCCCCTCTGAAAAGCTTCTCTCTCCCTCTCTTTCCCCTGTTCAGTGTTTTGAGTTTTGAGACATGGTCCAGGCTGTTCTGATTCGGGGCAGTTTTTCTGCCCCAGTCTTCTGGCTGCTGGGGTTACAGGCATAGTGCACTGCTGGGCCTACTTTTCTATCTAGCCTAGGTTATAGCACCAGCGCCAGGCACTGTCCGTGAAGATATGGAAAGCTCAGGTGGGGTGGAAGGAAGGGCTGCAGAGGCAGGATTCCCCCTGGGAAGATTACAGCAAGGTCGGTGGGGACATTCTGGGACACTTTCTATAAAGGGCTGGACGTTCGGAATAAAATGCATGGGGTCTGAAGAGCTCTGGCCAGAGCAGTATGTGCTGGCTCCAGGGTCTATCTTGCTCACAGTTGCAGGTAGTGTAGATCTTTTTGGGGTACGGATCTGTCATACCTGTAATGCAGGGGGACCAGGTAGAAGTTGGCTAACTGCACAGCAGGCCAGAGCTGTACGAAGAGAAGGTGGAGGTCGGCTGGCTGCCTCGCTGATCAGGGTTCGTCACCCTGCCAGGCCCTGGCCTGTTTCTGCACACAGGCACAGGCAGAAGGGGAGCACTCGGCCAGGAACGAGACAGAAATGCCCACGGAGGGATCCCGTGTCAGGAGGGCCCAACCAAATCCCAGGGCATCCCAGGGCTTTGGGAACCAGGAAAGGCAGGGAGGCGGTGTCAGCTCTTACGTAGTAGTTGGTGATGAGGGCATCGGGATAATCCTGAGGGGACAGAGAAAGAACCACTTAACCTTGGACTACCAAGCAGCTCCACCTACAAGCGTGAATATCCCACGTGGACGCTTGTTCCGAGAGTGTGCCCCTGCCCTGTGCTCCACATGCTCCTCTCCTCCCTGGCTGGGGACTCTCCCTGCACCTCTGCCTTTGCCCATGTCCTTCCCCGGGGCTGCCAGCCGGAGACCCACTCACCCGCTGTAGTTTGGCCCAATTGTCCCGGGCTGACAGTCCATTAAGTGTCCCTACCAGTGGCAGGAAGCAGCCTAGGAAACATGGAGCGAAGGCCCCCTAGGACAGAGAAACTGAAGCTCTGTGAGAGCCCGACATCCCCACCAGGTGCACCCCTCTGGGTCACTCACCTGGTCCCACAACATCTTCTTCAGGGCATCCAGTTTGGTGGTGCCAGGGATGAGCCGGTCCAAAACCTTGTACCAGCCTCCTACAACAGGGCCCTGAAAACAAAGCCTCGATACAGGAGCAGGATGTGGTGAGGGGCACCTGCCGCCCCTTACAGAACAAAGCTCCTGTCCCCAGGTAGCAGACACCACATCCCCAGGAGAGGCAGGCGAAGACAGAGAAGCAGGCTGGCCGCGTTGGAAGAAACCAGGGGAAACTGATGGCAGAGGACAAAGACCTCCACCCCATGCCCAGACATGGACAGAACACCCCATGCCCGTGGACAGAACTTACCACGAAGCCACAGCCCAGGAATACCATGGTCCAGGTCCGGCCTGTCTGGTGTCCCTGCAGACCCCGCCTCTCCACCAGCTGCTGTGATATCACATCACCCAGACCCATCAGGGACCCTGTGCAGGGAACAGGGCGGTGTCAGAGCACCTCCCAAACGGTGAGCTACTGACCAGCGAGACTGCAGCACTCCGAACCCCAGGACTTCATTCTGGGCAAATGACCAAGGCCTCTGTGCTGGCCCACAGCTCTCCTTCCTTCAAGCCGTGATGCCTCATACGTGTCCTTTCAGAAGCCAGGATGAGTGCGCCAGGAACCGAGTAAGCACTAAAGGAAAGTCAAGACAGAAACCGCAGAGGAAGAAGAGCCCTGTCGGCAATCGAAGGCTTGATCAGACTAATTTTCCCAAACCCCTTGTTTTAGAGATGGAGAAACAAAGTCTGGGATCCCACATAGCCAGCGCTGCAGGACACATCCTTCACACAATCCCACGCTGTCAACAGAGCGCTAAGGACACTGTTTCTCCTCCCCAGCCCGGTGTCAGACCCTGGACAATATTCTGCACCTTGGTCTAGGGGCCCTGTTTGTGGGGATAACTTTTACCTAAACATGAGTGCCTGCACAGTCCCGTGAGGGTAGGTGGCTGGTCAAGCTGGTAAGATTCCCCCGAGGAAGAGTCCTGGCCAGCAGCACAGTCAGCCAGACCCGGCCTCCTGCACGCGTGTGGCCTTGACAAGAGGTATTAGAGCCAGTTTCTGGGGCTACTGTGTCCACATCCCCCCAGCCCCCACTCAGTTCCAAGCAGTCCTAGACACCCACCCCCAGGAACCAAGACAGATATTGTCACTGTTTGGTTATGGTGGCATCTAGCAAAAACACACACACAGGTTCCCTCGGGAGAAGCCACATGATCTCCTGCTTGCCCATCTAGTTCGCTGGTAATGGAAGCCCCTCCAGACACCCCTCCCTACCCCCGAAGCCACCACTGTCCCTATGCCCTCAATTAGCACCAGACAAACACATCCTTCAACCCCGCTCTTGGCCTGGAGCTGGCTGTGACGTGCATGCTGGCTGCACACTCACTGCCCAGCTCCCCCCTCTGCACAGCGAGTTCCTGAGCAGCCTCATCAGAGGTGGCCGTGGGGAGCTGGGGCCGAGGACGGGCACTGAGCAGCTCTGGGTCTCCCTGGCGCTGGGTGCACCCAACACAGTAACAACACCCCACTTTCCCCTGAAACTGCCACAGGGAGCTTCCCCCAACACTGTCAGCAAGACCTGCCCGAGGGAAAGGATCCCATACACTTTTGTTCTCGTACTGCTACCATATCTGACCAAATAACGGAGGCAAACGGTCAAAGGCACCACCCCAGACAACAGCACTGCTCTGGAAAAGGCCACTGAGCTTAGCCTGGAGGACAACATGTCAGGCTGCGTGTTGGGACTGTGGCCCTCCCCCTACAGCACTTAATTCCCCATGTCCCCTTCAAAAAGGCGGGACTCCCAGGGAGGAGAGGGAGCTGCCACAGTCATGCACAGAGAAGAGAAACCCTAGGAAGACTACAGGCCTTGCACTGAACTACACCCCAACACACCTCTCTTTTCAGAGTCCAGCGGACTTTCTAAGTTGGCCAACCTGGGCTTGAACTTGCAAATCCTCCTGCCTCAGCTTCCCAGCGTGTTGAGATTTTAAGTGTGTGCCATCACAGTCAGAAGATGAAGGTGCTTTTTAGATGCCAGGAGTAACAGTCTGACAGTCCTCTGGCCAGAGGATTGAAGTTTAAAGACCAGACATAATGCGGCACATGTGTAAAACCAGCTCTCAGGAGGCTGAGGTGGGAAGATCATGAGTTCGAGACTTGCTTGGGCCACACAATGGGTTTAAGACCAGACTGAACTACACAGTAAGACCATGTCTTAAGAAAACAAATGAACAAAAAAAAGTTCACAAAGGACTCTCAGCCAGGTACGGTGGCACATGCCAGTAGTCCAGGACTCAAGAGGCTGAGACAGGATCACCGCAAGTTCCAGGCCAGCATGGGCTACATACTGAGTTGAAAGCTAGCCTAAACTACAGTTAGACTGTCTCAAAACACCAAAAGACTCTCGCACATAACTGCCCAAAGGTCTGGAAGGGAGGCAGTTGCTCTTTATCTATTGATAAGGACAGTGTTTGAGAGATGAGGTGGCTTAGTAGGGAGTGAAACCGGGACAAACCCAGGAAGGGAGCAAGGTGGCCTCAGCATAGCTGAGGCAGGATGGAGGCCAGCGAGAGCCAGGGACTTCTGTGTTACTCCTCTGCATGGGATTTCTAAGCCAGCCCGTAAGGGGCCACTCTTATGGCTCAAATCTGAGGTGTCCTCTTGAAAGCCTCACGTGTCTGGAAGGTGACCAGATCATCAGTGGGTTTCTCCACGAATGAGTTTGTGGCTGAGTGTGCAGTTACGAAGCGGGGCCTGGTGGGAAGAGGAGGCCCAGTGGAGATCACTGGCGGTGCGGCCAAAGGGTGCACCTCCCACCCGGCCTCGGCCTTCCTCTCCTCTGCTTCCTGGCCTCCACACCTGGAGCAGCTTTTCCTCTGCTCTGAAGCCTGCTGAGCACGGACTGTGGCCAGGAGCCCAAATAAACCTTTCCTCCCTTAAGCTGTGTCAGGTATCGTGTCTGGTTGTTAAGGAAAGGGACCAAGACAGCCACACAGCAAAGATGCTCCCTGAACTACTAAAGTACTCTGTCCTTACTCTGCAGGACTCCTGCAACTTTGATCCTTGGGCACCCTGTGCCCAAGATGCCAGGGAAAGTCAAGTGTGTGCTTTCACACTTGGTCATTTGCCAACAGTCACACAACAAAAGGCAGAATCGGAATGAAAATCCAAGTCCCTGACCCCACCTTCCTGGGAGCTTGCAGTCATTTAGAAAGAGGAATTCTGGGCCCCAAACTATGTCCATTAAGCCTGAAGATTACTAAGCAATAGGGCAGCAAGATGAGGAGTAGGGGATACGAGCTACAGACCCCGCCAGGTCTGTTCGTTCCAGACAAACAGCACCCAGAAGTTTGTCCTCTGTCCGTAGAAAATCAGGGCCCCAGACCTGCAGTAACTCCAGGATGGCCTAAGGCTCGATCCAAGCGAAGAGCAAGGCCTGCATTTCTGGCCCAGGTGTCCCTTTGAGCAGAACTCGACTGTTCAGATTCCGCATCCTACCTTCCCCAGCCAAGAGCTCCAACACAACCAAACCATCCCAGGCCCTTGGAGACTACTGGACACGGCCAGTCTGAATTTTCTAGTGCTCTGACTTGGGAGTTGGGGCTTAGGGTCTGCATACACATAACGCCCTAGTCCTGATGGGGCAGGGCAAAGGGCTGCTGGACAGTGATGCCCCAATGCCAGGCTGGGCGCACAGCCCAGCAAGTAGACACTGGTGTGAGTATGACATCATGCCCCTGGGCAGGTGCCAGTTCTGATGCCGTCACTCCCCATCAGATCAGGGGGCAGCGGAGGGGAGCCAGCTTCCTCTAGGCACAGACCTATTTGGGACCATCCTCTGCCACTAATTGAAAAGTGCCACTTCTACACTTCTGGGGCACGAGGCATGAGTGAAGGCAAGGTCCCTGCCTCCTGTGTTTTGTTTCTCCACTGGCTTTTTATGGAATTTTTGCTGTTTTGAGACAGGGCCTTACTAAGTGGTCCAGGCTGGCCCTGAACTATCAATTTTCCTGCCTCGGGTTCCCTGGCTGTGAGCTCTTGATTGCCCAGCTGCATAGAGTCCTATATGACTCTACAGAGAAGAAGATAAAGTGTTAACAGGAGATAAGCCAGAGGGGAGGAAGTGGCTTCTTGGACCGAGGACAGGAAGTGTGCCCTTGAGCAAAGGCGGCTGGTGTGGGGCAGGCAGTGCTGCTGACTCAGAAGCCTCTCACGGTACCTACCTGCCTGGCTGCGGTAGGGCCCTGACCCTGCACAGGGCTCAGGGGGCGCCGAAGCCCAGGGTGGAGCACCTTCACCGGATGGGTCTGAGTGCTCTGCTCACTCCTGCTCTTAACCTATCCTAGTGCTAGAAAACAAGGCAAAATGAATGGGTCTGCAGCTTGTCGGGTGTCTAAACTCAGACCAGACCAGGGACTGTGCTCGGCATGGTGGGGCCCCAACAGTCTCAGTCTATAGTGCAGGGCAGGACAGGACAGTGGTAACTGTGGTTTCAATGCCAGCTCCATCACTGAGCAAGTGAGACCTCAGTTTCTTTTTCAGTAACATCAGGGGCTGAACTGGGTGGTCTCTGAAGCCTGTGTACTTCTCCTGTCCTGGCTGACCTCAGATTCCAGAGAAACCAGTGCCTGCAGGAGCTTAGCTGCTCTAGTGGTCGGATCAAGGAGGCCTAAGACAGGGAACTGGGCCCGGAGCCCACTGGAGACTGAAAGGGGTCGGGAGAAAGGAAGAGATAAGGCTGACTCAGGCTCTGCAGAACACACAGCCAACCTTTCCCCAGAATGCCCTGTTCCTGACTTCGGCCTGGCCAAAGCTGGTGCATTACACATTTCTGCTAAACCGTTTCCGATCTCCGTCCACCTACGTCCTGCTCCAGCCATCACTGCAGCTCAACCTGCCAGAGCCTTGCCTCAGACAATGCCAGTCCTGGGACCTCACCGCTGATGCCTTCAATGACTATGCTTATGCCACCCGGCCCAGGGGTGAAACCTTGACCAGTGCAGGATGGGGGCTGATGGGTTCTCTTTTCTCCAGACATGACTGTTCATCCAGACTGTCCTAAGAAATATTTGAAAGAGGTTCTCAGTCAGTTCCAAGGGACTGAGCAGCCAGCACTGTCCCACTCCCTCACCAAGCACCAGCACATAAGCTTCATGCTTTGCTTTTTGGGGAAAAAAAAAAATCAAACAAAACCAAATCCTAAGATACTTATACGTCTTCAGATTTATGGTAAGCAGAACACCACCATTACAATAATAACTTGTTGGCTGGGCCTACTGATGCACGCCTGTAATCTCAGCACTTAGGAGGCTGAAACAAGGAGGGTTACTGCAAGTGTGAGGGCAGCCTGGGCTACAATGTCAGTTCAAGGCCAGCCTGAACTGCACAGTAAGACTCGGTCCCCCACCCCCCAAAAACTTTGTTATGCCAGGGTTACCAATACTCATAAAAAGGACCAGCCTCTTGAGCTTCTAAGTTTATTATGCATTTAATAATCAACCCAACGCTGATCCTGTGAGGTCCTATACCTCAAGCTCTCAGTGAAGACAATGAAAGCCAAAGGAGTTTACTAACTTGTGCTAAGACAGCCATTACGTATTACAGCTCTGAGATTTAAATCTTAGTCTTCCGACTCCAATTCTGAAACTTCTGCTTTCTAGTGTGATGAGCACTCCCCCAGGATCACAGCAACTACTGTGCTGGATCCAGACATACTGTGCTCAAAAAATAAAAAATAAACCTCTTACGCTAAATTCACTTCCTCCCTTAATCTGTAATTTGGTCTAAATACACCAAGAAGCAGGAAAGGAAAGTTATGAAAGATTTGCAAAGTCTTCCTAAGTGCTAGGAGGCTACAGGGTGCTTCACAGCTAAGCTGGGCTGAGCATAGCCTCCAAAAGACAGAAGGTGTGGGGGGCCAAAGGACACCAGCGTGGAAAAGAGCAGGATCCAGTCCAGCCACACATCCACCATTGGGTCCCCTCGGAGCTTTAGTTTCTGCCGTTGTCAGCTGCAGATCCCTGTTAGAGAAACACAAGGCCTATCCCTCCTGTTCCTTCTTGATGGTCACCACGGGGAAATCTTCTATCTGGCACTTGTGGGCCCTGAGGGAATCTGAGGTTGGGCAAATTCCCAGTGCATCGGTTCCCATCATAGCCACACAGTCCAGCATGAGTCACCACACACGCAGCCAGGTGAGTCATGCAGGCTGATGGACATTCTGAGGACAGGACAGGAGGTGTTAGGGCACAGAAGGCTGAAAGGGGGCTCACTGAGGGGAAGAGAGTCCATCTCCTGGCCACCTATACAGTGAAGTTCCTAGTGTTGATGTGGGGTTATCCCGGGAACACTCTGGCTTTCACTAGCTCCTCAGTACTTCTGACAGCTTTTCCCCAAAGCCCACAGTCCTCATTAGAATACTATTTTCTTCCTCTAAACACAAGCAAGACCCCATCATAATCACTTTTGGCACTGAGGGACACATGCCTTCTGACCCTTCTCTACACAAAACTTAGCTCTGCACTATCTCCTCTTTTACCAGGGTAAAATGTGCAGTGAAATCTCTGGGTTACCTTTGTGAGGTTGCTACTCAGTCACTGGGTTTGGAGTAACAACTCTTGAGGATATTGTTTGGGGATGCATTCATGACTAAGAAACTGTAAGAAAGGCAAAGAAATGATGTACAGAAACTCTGGAAAGTGGTCACCTTTTTGAATGTGTGACTTAGGAACAGGTGTTCAAGGGGTCCTGAAGCTGGATACTGATACAAAAATGCTCAGTTTAAACTGCAAATATGTGTCTTTATTCTTTTGTGTATTTTTAAGTATAAAATACTAACAAAACTATCTCGAGTAAGAGTCTTGAATTCACTTATCAGGTGTAAGCCAATGCAGACTCATGTCATTTTACAGACCTGTGGTACTTATGACACAATACATATGAAAGTGCTTTGTACACCATAAAACGTCAGAGGAGTGTGTTGTTAGTGTTCCAAATTGGGACCAACTGTAGTAATGCTTCTATCCCTAAGAACGGACTGCTCAGCTTTTGGTCACAGCTGAGCCAGCTATGTATACCACTTAAATAGTCTCTGAGACTCGCCCTCCCAAACAGAGCAGCTTGGGAGGGAACTGTTCCAGGGCCTAACCACAAGCAGGAAACTGTGAGTGCTGTACAGTGTGCCTTGCCTTGCAAATCAGCCTGCACTGGTCCCAAAGGGACACTCACCAGCCGTCAGGAGCTGCACTTTCCACGGATGAGCAGCGAGGGCCCGCTGGTATGCCCGCCAGAGTGCCATGCTTCCTGTCAAACCGAGAGGAGAGGGTCACTGCCACTGCCGTCCCAGCAATGAAAGATGACTGACATTGCCTTGTGCCCATTCCGTCTCTTCCCCCCAGTATGTCCAACAGACGCCCCAGGAGAACCCTTTCTGGAAAACTCCCTGTCACAGGGAAGAGATACGTGTAGGCAGCAGCCATCCCGCGACCCCAGTCCCGAAGTAGGGTTGCTCAGGAACCTCCCGCCCGGGGCGAGACACCCACGAGGTCACGATGGTCTTGTTTTCCCAAAGAGCGCGGGTCCCCAGATGCACACTTAGTTGGAACTAGCCCGTATCCTACACCGGAAACGAGCACGCTCCCTGCCCGGGCTCTGAATGGTCACACCCTGAGACCCCTGGGGCGCGCGGTTCTTTAAACTGCACCAGCCACGCACCGGAGCTCCAGCGCCGCGGACTAGCCCCGCTCACGTGACCTGGGACGAGGCTTCCGCCGCAAGCCCCGCCCCTTCCGCCAGCGCGCCGCAGTCTCGTCCCCCAGGTGCCGAGTTAGTCCGCCGAGGCACGCGCCGTGGAAGGCAGCTCACCTCGGCACCCGCTCTGCGAGCGCCTCCTTTTCCGGGGGGAGCGCGCCCTGCTTTGGGGTGCAGCTGCCCACTGGGTTCATCTCCTCTTCCTCCCGGCGCGTCCGGCCTCTCAGTCGGGAGCAAACCCCTAGTTCCAGTCCCCTCCACCCCACCCCTGAACTAAGGTCCTCGCCTTCTCAGTCCTAGTTCTGGGCATGCACGTGTTATCGTCTAGATCGTTCCTTGGCCTCAATTACGTTTGTTGTCTTTTCAGCTAACTAGCTGCCAGTGTTCCCTTCAACGCTGCATGCTAACTTCTCTAGGAAGCATTTAAATTACCTAACCTCGGCAAGAGTTCAGTACCAAAAGAAATAAACAGGTCTCTTTATTGCCTGGGCTAATTAAAAATAATGTACTTCAGGAAGGCCTTTAACTCACAGCAATCTTTCTTTCCTCGGCTTCTAGAATGGTCGGATTATAGGTGTGTTACCATGCCCAGCTACAAAGCCTTTTTTTTTTTTTTTTTGGTACCGGGAAATAACTCGTGACCTTGTACTTACCAGGCAGGCAGTTATGCCACTGTGCTAAAGCCCCAGCCCCAGAAAGCCTTTTTAAATGAAGGGGTCACAAGTGTTTGTGGGTAGCAGATTAGGCTCTTAACCCCCTTCCAGCTCTAGTATCCCAATATTCTGTGAATACAGTAAATACCTTTCTTAGGATGGAGCAAAATTGCACAGTATCCCTGGTAGTAAGTTTAGCAGGCTGGCAGACTGCTTATGTTGAGCCCATGCCTCAGGAAGCACTTTCAGGCTTCCAGCTGGTTATTTCCAGTGCCAGCTTATTCAGTTCACGTAGTCAAGGGACAGGGCTAAGAGAAGCCTGTCACAAACACCGCAGAAACAGAGTAAAGTTGCAAGAGAATTCTATGTAAAATTTAACTAAGAGATCTCTTATGAAACACCATGCTAGGAGTGAACTTACCCTAGTACAGAGGAGGCCATGTATTGCAGGCTGGAGTTACACTCTCAAGTCAGACTGTCGGGGATCCAGCCAGCTCCAGCATCACTACCTTGTTATGTGATCTTGGTCAGATTGCTTAATCTCTCAATTTAGTCTTTTATCATTTAAGTAAAGCAGCAGTATCTGCCTTCATAGGACTAATATATGCACAGCACCCAAAGTGGATCAATACTGCATAAAATACCTATGTGCCCTGCCTCCCCATTTAGGAAAATGAGGGGCTGTTTTTTACTAGAGAGATCAGGGACTCTGCTCACTGAAGATGGGCTTTGAGGTGGATTTCTTTTTAATTGGGGGAGGGAGTCTTGGGATTAAACTCAAGGTTATGTGCTCTATCATCGCGCTACACCTCAGCCTGGGCCTGCCTCTTAAAGGATAAATAGAATTTAGCTAAAGTTGGTGGGAAAGGACAGTTCTGAAGGCAAGAGTGTAAGGGTACAAAGGTAGAAAAGTGCAGGAACTGCACTCGGCAGGCTGAGGCAGGAGGACTGTTGTGAGTTCGAGGCCAGCCTGGGCTACAAATCGGGTTCAATAGTGAAACCCTGTCTTGAAAAGATACAGAAAAAAAGATGCAGGAACCAAGGGTTTGAAGTGAATGGATGATGAGGAAGGGGTAGAAGTTAAGTGGTCTGGGGAGAAACGGTTTATGGGAAAAAAGCAACTGCTGAAAGCATCACTTTTGCTTTTGGAGATTTGAGATTAGGGTTGAGCCTCAACAGCAGGAAGAGGACACCCAACAACAACCTTAAGCCTCAATTTGCAGTTCCCAGGTCTCTTCTTTTCCAGCACTGGAAGTGGAAAAGGGGCTGCCGTGTGGTGTCAAGAGACTGCTCCAAGAAGGTAGTTCCCTGTGAGCTCAAAAGACAAAACTGGTGGCACCTGCCTGTAATTCCAGCACCCTAGGAAGCTAAAATGATAGCAAATTCAAGCCCCACCTGGGCTGCTTAGCCATTTAGGCAGACCCCGCCTCAAAATTATATTAACTCAGTGGGAAGGCCTTGGGTTCAATTCCCAGTAACAGCATTGCGGGGAGGGGGCACAGACAGCAGAACTGGCATAACCTGAACCGGCTCACAGCAGCGGTGCAGCACTAGGCTTGTCTGCCGAGAACGCTTAGGGTTATGGTCCCTCCCATGGTCCTGGGCTCCCTCCACGCCTGCTTCCTCTTCTGTACCTGCAGGAACCCAGCTACTCAATTCTGTTCTTAAAAGATTTCTGACACCACATGAATTGCCTACAGTAGCTAGAAGGAAAATCTATTCTCAAATATGACCAGTCCAGGGTGTCAGAGGATTTCAGACAGGCACTAAACTAATCTCTGCTCCTTCTAACAGACAGCTGGTTTCTTTTGCCTTTTTTTCCTCCTCCCTACTTCCTAGGATTATTTTAACTACTTCCCTTTAAGCCCCAGCCCCAGTCCCACCCGCGCCCTAGCCTGCATTCTTATGCACCCCCGGGCCAGTTTCACTTAGCTGGGGTCTGTACTTAGGCAGTATCATCCGCACGGAGTCTGCAGCATCCCACAAGAGAACTCAAGATAACAACACACTGCTGTACTTGGGATCTACACACTTCCTGTAGAGTTTAAATAAACATGTACAGTAAGTAAAAAATGTGACCATATCATGAAGGATCATAAATCATGACGTGTGAAAGTATGGTTGAAATAACTGAAGATATTTAATCTAGAGGAAAAAAAAGACTTTGAAAACACATGATAGCTTTTGTTAAATACTTAAAAGGGCAATCACAGGGAAGAATAACTAGATTTCCTATCACCCATGAGTAAAATTAATAGATACTCTCGCTTGCTATAAAGGAGGATTTTAAAAATATGACTGTCTAGGAGTGTTCAAGTAGGGTCAAATGACCAGTGATTTGGAATAATTTCATAAGCAGGAGCAAGTAAGAGCTAAGCTACTGTTCTACTGGGAGGGTGTTCGTGGTGTCCCTCAGTTAAAAAAGTACTATAACCAGCTTCAGTCCAACAGATTCCCCTCGGCCTGTGTGTTGATTACTGTAAAGAGGAAGTCTGGAGAGGCAGTGACACTGCATCCTGGAATACGGTCGGAGAGGTGGCTTCATGTGGATACTCTGGTGATTTGCCAAACACCCACTCACAAGTGGTCTCAAAAACACCCAGTGCCTTTACTTAGCTTTACCCACTTCACAACTGCTCAATATGAGCCATTTGACTCCCAAGCCTAGGTCTGGCCTGAGTGTTTCTCGTGAGCAATAGTATTAGGCTGAGGAGCCTTTGTGGAGGGAGAGCCCCCCTGCCCGCAGGGGGCTGTGACCATAGAAGTCTATGGAAAGAGGAGGATCTAAGGAGTCCTGGGGACGAAGGCCTAAGGTCCAGGCTTGGCACCACGCTGTCCAAGAAGGCCCTAGTTCTTATGGCTCTGTGCATGGTGACCATTTGTTCTTGGCAGACTTCATTCCAAGGGTCCTATGTGGACCAAGACTAGGGACTAGACAGAAGGCGATGGCTGGCTGGAGGGAAGCCAGGCCCTTTGGTTGGGGAGGATGGTTGGAACATAGCACTGAAGTGGGCTTGACTTTCAAGCTGCACACGGTGACCCAATGGGGAGGTGAGTCCACGGATGAAATGGATCCGAACCAGCCCTGACTGCCCCCCAGATACCAGCCATCCATAGGAGTCCAGGTTTGGGCTGAAACGTACCTGTGAAAAGAATTAAAGGTGAAAGAGTGAAGGCCAGTGCTGGAAAAACAACGAATAAAAAGTGGTGTGTAGGGCAGTTCTTAGTTATGTAAGTGAAAAAACCAGGTCACAATTCAGGAAGACAAGACCATGATGGGGTGAGGGAGGAGGAGAAAGAAGCCAATCAATGACGTGTGGCCACCATGCTCCTTCCCTCTACTTCGCCCTTTCAGTGTCCACTTCATAGGCCCAAAGCTGGGGGAAATGGGTGGAGGTAGAGACGAGCCGAGAGCCTCACCTTGTGAATAGCCTCGAGCTGCAGCCTGTCCAGGCAGAGCTGCGAGTGTCCTTCTCCCTCCTGCATGCGGAGCATTGGTTCTCTATGCAGCAGGTTGTGGAAGGAACCCTGGGGGCAGAGGTGGCACAGGGCAGAAGCGAACAACTCCTTAGTTTTACATCTTTGTCCTGGAACTAAGCGTCCCTGCTCTACAAGGACTCGTTTTCTACCTTTTCTAATGTCGGGCCCATTCTTCTGGCCTTAGCTTACCAGATCTGTGTCTTGAAAAAGCAAGTAATGGTGGTTGACAGTTTCAGCGTAAGTTCGAGCCTTGGGAGGATCAGGGATCCCCGATGAAGCAGAAGACAGATCTTGGCCTTCAGGACTGTCCTGATATGGGACCAGATCTGCTTTATATATAGGCTAGAAAGGAGACCGTGAGATTAGGGCTTATAATACTGCACACAGCACAGAAGTAGAGAGGAAAGTGGTTTGGGGCAGGAAAGTCTTAACAATGGAAAAAAAGTACATTTAAATGTGTGCTCAGTTGCAGTGGGGCAGAAGGATTAAACACAATTCTCTGTCAAGATGGCATCAGGGCTGGGAGACTGAGTACTAATTTGTATTCTACCAGGAGCTGGGAAGGGTTATAGATTAGGATCCAACAGATGGTGCAGCCGTTAGATGCTCATATACGTACGAATCTTCGCTCTGCCGGTCGCTTGACATTTATTGGGTTCGATGCCATGTCAGGTAATATAGCTGCAATGAGCTCCCCAGAGATATCTCCTGCAGCTATTGTCCCAAGCCAGTCAGATCCTGAAAGACTCTAACAGGAGGAGACATGTTTCATTCTTGGTTCATTCATTTCTGTGAACTGACAATGACTGCACAGTCTGAGGGTGAGCAGCACACACACACACACACACACACACACACACACACACACAAATGAGTTCATCAGCTTGGCATAGTTGACTTCGGCACTCTAGAAGCTGAGGCCAGAGGATTACAAGTTTGAATCCAACCCAGGCAACTTAATGAGACCTGTCTCAAAATAAAAAAAGATGGCTCACGCCTATCATCCCAGCACTTGAGAGGCTGAGGCAGGAGGATCGTTGCAAGTTCGAGACCAGCCTGGGCTACAAAGTGAGCTCAATGCAAGCCTGAACTGCATAGTGAGACCTTG